GTGTGTGGGGTGGGCCCACCTGTGCAGGGGCGGCACGCTGTCCTGGGTGCGCAGACTGCCGCGCGTGGACACGACGTTGAAGCTGTCGGTACAGTCACACTGCACATGCAGGTAGGACTTCGGGTGCCGATTCTCAACCACCACGATCAGCCCCGCCCAGCCGTGCGTCAGGTAGTAGCAGGTCATGCCCTCGCGGCCCTGGTGCAGACGGCAGGTGTAGGTGGGGGCCGCGGGGGCCACCCCCTGCGGACGGGTCCTCCCCGCGCCCCGTGGGGCCGTACCCCCACCTCGTGCCGCTCGCCCCGGCTCTCGGTCAGCAGGATGATGGCGTCGGCAAGCGTGGTCGGCTGGGCCTCCACCGGCTCCACCATCACCAGCCTTGAGCTGTAGACGGCCAACACGTGGCCGGGTGGCTCTGAGGTGCAGCGCGGGCTCCCTGACGACGGGCTGGAGGCTGCCGGGTGGGCGTTGGGGGCTTTAGGGGGGACGGGCACCCGGTATGCACCCCGTGTGGGAGGCCGCCCGCCCTGCCCAGGTGTCCCGTTACCCTGTGTGGCCGCGGGGCTGGCGCCCCAGTGGTTGAAGGCACAGCACACGACCGTGTACTCGCCCGGCTCCAGCATGACGTCGCAGTTGACGAACTTCTTGACTGCCCGCTTGCTGTGCGCCAGGAGGCGGCCTAGGCTCAGGCGGCCACCTCTGCCAAACGTGGCCCGGAACACCAGGATACACAGGTCCAGCAGGTGGCTGTCCCCCGCGTCCGAGCGCCTGTAGCCAGGGTGCATGGGTCACGATGGACCATGATGGCCACACTGTGGCCCGCCCACACCGCGGCCCGCCCCGCCCTACCTGCTGCCCTCCTGGAAGAGGGCAAAGTCCAGCGAGGTCCTCTCGAGCACGGTCAGCGCGGTGACACCCACAGGCCTGCTGGCTGAGCAGGGGAAGCAGCCCTGCACCCGCACCTCCTGCCAATCTGAGCGCGCCTTGCAGATGTCCACCGAGTCGAAGTACCTAGGGCAGGGAGGGTGGACACGCTCCCACAGCTGCCCCAGGCCTCCAAGGCCCCATGGCGCCCCCTCTCCTGCCCCTCTGCCCCCAGCCCTGGGAGCCTGTTGGGAAAGGTGCCTAACCAGGAAGTGGTCCAGCCTCGGCTTTGCCGCTGGAGAAAGGGTTGCCGGGCCGCACAGTGACCCCGTGATGGCCAGCTGACCTGTGGGGCCCGGGCCGCACAGTGACCCCATGACGGCCAGCTGACCTGTGGGGCCCGGGCCGCACAGTGACCCCGTGATGGCCAGCTGACCTGTGGGGCCCGGGCCGCACAGTGACCCCATGACGGCCAGCTGACCTGTGGGGCCCCAGGTGCCGAGGTTGGGCGGCGGCAGCAGCAGCTGGAGCCTGTCAGATGCACCCTGCCCCTGCTGCTCCGGGCCCTTGGGGGTGCAGCAGCTCCCAGAGAACGTCCCACGCCCTGGCACCTCGCCCCCCACCCCACGCACCTGATGAAGTCACTGTACTCCATCCAGAAGACGCCCTCACCGCTGCCGAAAGGCACGAGCTCGCTGCGCAGGTGGCCTGGCCAGTGCGGCCACTCGTCTGACCAGCTGCCGGTCCAGGAGAAGCGGCCCCACGGGTTCCGGAGCCGCAGGAGCCTACAGACACGAGGCTGAGGCCGTGGCCGACTACGCCCTCCCCCCCACCAGCCACCCGGCCCTACCTGGAGCCCTGCACGTCACGGACATCCAGGATGGAGTAGGCGTGGCGCGGGCGCAGGCCCAGGCTCTCGTAGGCCGCGTCGTCCACCTTCATGTTGCCCCCGCCGCATGAGGCGCCCATGAGGAACCTGTGGGGAGAGCGGCCTCACTGACCCGGCGGCCCTCCCCTTGAGACCCCAGCCCCCGGGCGGGTGGCCCCTGCCACCCCGCGGCCGCCCCGCCCCAGCCCTCACCCCGCCTCCTTGGAGCTCAGCATCTTGGCCCAGATGAGGTCGGTGTCCACTGGCTCCTCGCGGGGGTTGGTGGAGCTGACCTGCAGCAGGAGGCTCTCGCAGGGGGCCCCGGTGAGCGTGGCCAGGCCCTCGATGGCGCGGCCGGCCTGTAGCGCAAAGTAGGAGCCGTGCAGCTTGGCCAGGGCCTTCTCGATGAGAGCCACCCACAGCTGCTTCCGCTGGGCCTGCGGGGAGGGTGGGGTTGGAGGTCGGTGCTGCCCTCGGGGCGGGGAAGGGCAGGGTGAAGGCCAGTGCTGCCCGCTGCCCTCGGGGAGGATGGGGTGAAGGCCGGTGCTGCCTGCTGCCCTCGCTGCCCACCGCCCTCTGCGCCCCCACCTACCTGAGAGAAGAGCAGGTAACCACCCTCATCACAGGGCAGCATGTCGTCTACCAGCACGGTGGTCCACGTGCCGTCTTTGCACAGCCGCACCTGGTAGGCACCTTCGGGGCACAGGTCTCGCGTGACCATGACCCGCTCCACAAGGTCGGGCCGCTCCGCCAGCACTGCCAGGGCGCTCAGGAACCTGGGGGGTGGGGGGTGGCGGCTCAGGGGGGCACGTGGCTTGCCCCCCACCTGCCCCTCGTCCGCCCCTCCCCCACCATCCTCACCAGCAGTTCCCCAGGAGCCCCTGCAGGATGTCCGAGGGCCGGAGCCTGCAGAACACGGACCACTGCACAGGGGAGGGGTCCTTGAAGACGGAGCAGTTAATCTCGTGGGGCCGCAGCCACTGCCGCACGCGCTGCTGGACGCCATCGCCCTCAGGGAAGCCCACGGACGCAGGCCCGGGCGGGAAGCTGTCGTCCACGAAGTTCATGCTGTTCTGTGGGGACCGCAGGGGTCAGGGCTCGGACGGGAGCCCTCAGAGGACGCCGCCAAGTCTCACAGGTCCCCACGGGACCCCAGTCCACCTGACGTGTCAGCAAGAGGGGCCGGGTGCCACACTCCCCACCCAGCACAGGACCGAGGCAGCCATGCTTGGCTGTGTGACAGGGGATGGGCCCAGGAGACAGCCCAGCCCCCGCCCCACTGCCGTCTGGGAGGTAACCCAGACACGCCACCAGCGTTCTTCCCCAGCCGGCGGGGCCGAGGTCAGGTGCACGGGTGGGTAAGAGGATGTGGTGGGTGAGGGGCAGCAGCCCTGCCCTGGCCACAGAGGGCAGAGGGTAAAGGGCACGGCCAGTGCCTCCCACGGCTCAGAGTGTGAAGTTGGGGGCCCTGAGCCTAGCTTTCCCCAGGGCCTCCACGCCCCCTGCCCCCGCAGCCTCCAGCATCTGCGCGCTGATGTGGTGACAGGAGGGTGAGGAACGGGCCAGCCCACGCTGGAGGACGGACTGCCGTCCCACACCCTCGGCCCACCCCATGTCCACCCCCCGGCACCCTCCCATCCCGCCCCCTGCCCCCATTACTCCCCTGTCCACCACTCTGTGCCCCATCCCGCCCCCCGCTCCCCCTGTCCTACCCCCACCCTGCTCACCTCCCGGCAGAAGGCCACAATGTGCTCCCACAGAGCCTTAGCCTCGCCCTCGTCCGTCAGCCGCCTCTTCTCCACCAGCACGCTCTCCCGGCGCCGCAGGGGCACGGCACCCTGGCGCTGGGCCTCCAGCAGCTGCGGTGTGTGGCAGGCGGCACAGTGCCGGGCGCGTGCAGCGTTGAGCAGGGTGCAGGCGGGGCAGGCCCACTGGGCCTGGCGCTCGGGCGGTGCAGCAGGCAGGAGACGGGCAGCCTTGTGGGCTGAGGGGGCCCGGCCGCAGCTGCCACCGCCACAGGGCCCGAGCCTGTCGGCGCCGCAGTCAGCGCAGCGGGCCGCGGCCTCACCGTGCTCCTGGAAGCCGTGCAGCTTGGAGCAGCCGCAGGCCGAACAGCGGGCGGCCGCCGTGGGGTTGCGGAGCGTACACTGGGCACACGACCAGGTGGTGAAGTCGGGGCTGGAGGGGCTGCCAGGCGTGAAGCGCACGGAATCGCCGGCCAGGTCGATGACGTCGCTGCCCGGCACGGGGCTGCAGCCCTCACCACGGGCTGGGCTGCCCTCCGCCGCCTCCAGCACACTCAGCCGCTGGCCAGACAGCAGCTCTGCCCGGCGGGGGGCCCCGGCCGCTGCCCGCCCTGGGCCCTGGGGGGCCTTGGGACTGGGTGAGGGCTGAGCAGCTTCAGGCACCGGCAGCTGCGGCTGGGGGGGCACCTCCCGGCGGCTTCGGGGCACAGGGTTGTTCTGTAGGGGCGGCGAGAAGGGGCTGAAGGGCGCCACGCGTGGGGGCTCCTGGTCGGCTGTGGGTGCGCCCTGGCCGGCGGAGGCAGGGATGGCCTCGGCGCTGTCCCCAGGCAGGCCCGGCGGGGGTGGGGTGGGCCCGGCGTGGAAGCCGGCGGGGGCCACAACCTCGGGAACCACCAGGGCTTCGGGTGGGATCCTAGGCAGCGAGAGTCTGCGGGGGCCCCCACAGGCGGAGCAAGAGCTGGCCACGGGCGCGTTGTGCAGGGTGCAGCGTGGGCAGGCCCAGCTCCCTGGCTCTGTAACCACCTCCTCGGGGCGCCCCCCGGCCAGCTCCGTAACCACTTCCTTGGGGCGCCCCCCGGCCGGCTCCGCCAGGACGGCAGGTGGTGGGGGCAGGGCCCCGTTGATAACTGGGGCCAGGGGAGCCCCAGGTGCGGGGTCAGGGGCAAAGCCGCACACCTCGCAGGCCTCCTTGCCCAGGAAGTTCCGGAAGGTGCAGCGGGCGCAGGGCCATTTCTGCTCCTCCACGCTGAGCCTCAGTATCTGATCGAGGTCGGGCTTCTGCCGGGGGGCCTCGCAGATGGCACACTGGCGCTGGCCAGCCGGGTTCAGGAAGGTGCAGCGGGCGCAGGACCACTCCCGGACCGCGGCCATAGACCCAGGCGAGTGCGTGTGGCTGCAGGGGGGACCAAGGGGCCAAGTCAGGGCTCTAGAATTTCACAGCTCTGCTCTGAGACCCCCTTCTGGAGGGGGTGGGCTGTGGGGCTGAGCCTCCCATGGGGAGTGTGAACCCACAAGGGGTCCAGGGCCACCTGGCAGGGTTCTGCCTCACTCCTGTCCCAGACGTGCAGGCCGGGCCGGGAGCCCACCATCAGGACAAGCTGGGGTTGCTGCCTGGTCTGGAACTTCTCCTGGGCGCAGGGCAGGGCTGACCCTCCTGCCCAGCCAAGGTCACACCCCGTAGCCCTCTGTCCCCAGGCCCAGGCCTGGTCAACTCCAGCTGGAACTGCAGCCACCCAGCAGGCTGTGGGCAAAGCCCTGGTCAGACCGGCCTGGCAAGGCCACAGTGCAGCCGCACACCTGGCGCCTCACCTGGGAGCCAGCCATCCCCCCCGGGGTGCTGTGGGGGGTTCAGGACACCCACATCCCACATGGACTGACAGTGTGGCCGGCGGAGGCGACCTGGGACTATATCCAACCACCCTTCCTCTTGCAGCCACAGCTGAGCTGACAGCGTCTCGCTGGAGGAGAGTGTGGACCACAGTGTGACGGCCATGACCAGCTAGGCCTGAGCCCGGGGGTGAGGAGACTGCACCCCTGGCATGGCTCTTGAGGCGACCTTTATCCAGTCACTGGGCCTGAGGTGCGAGGCAGGCAGGCATGGGGAGGATCAGAGAGCTGGCCTGTGAGTGCCTGCGCCCAAGGCCCACAGCTGGTCCAACACCGCCAGCCAGACCAGAGCTGCGGCAAGGGCAGGGGTGGGCAGGCCCGGCTGCCAGCACTTCTGATGGCCCCACTGGCCATGGGCTGTCCTGCCTGCCTGGGGGGACACTCCCAATTCCCCCAGGGCCCTGGGACAGGATGCATAGCAGTCTCCTCTGCACAGCCTGCCCGTGGCCCCAGGGGGGCCTCAACTCTTCTCAGGACCCCGAGAGGGCAGCAGATGCTGTAACATGCGTGCTCCCCAGCTCCAGGGCCAGCCTGACCATGCGAGGGGCCCGATTCCAGAACACAGAGCCTCTAAAGTGACCGTAGCTGCCCTGCTGGTGGGAAAATCAACTGTTCTTTATAACAACTGTAAAGCTTGTGCTCCTAACATGTTCCAACCAAACGCTCTTTGTTTAGGAAGAAAACTTGTCTCTTCAAAAACACAAACAAAAAGACGCACCCCAAGCACCATGAGTGTTTTTTGGACCCACAGCACCCTGTAGGGTGGCCTCTGTGCCCAGAGCAGGGAGAGAGGGAGCAGAATACGAGAGCAGGGAGAGCGGGCGGGGGCACGGCCAGCATCCAAGCAGGCAGCAGTGGAGCCCAGAGCCCCCAGGTGCGCAGGCCGGAAGGGGGCTGGGCTCGCCATGGAGCACTCTCCCCAGAGTGGCCAGCACAGAGGGCAGGTGGCATCAGGCCAGGGATGACCTCTGCTCCTGTGCTGGGAAACTCAGAAAGCTGCCTGTCTCTCCTTGTCCTCCCTTGGGAAAAAGGCCCACAGTCTGGTCAAGGAGCGGAGCATGCATGCGCCTGCACAGGACACGTACACCTACATACATGTGTACATGCACAGTACATGTATGCACACACGCACGCACGCACAACATGTATGTATGCACGGATGCACGGGCATACATGCACACAGTGATGGTCCTGGCCAGCCCCATCCCAGCAGCAGGCTTGGGCTTGGCTGCCCGCCCTGCACACCCCATGCTCTGGGTGTGACTGTGTAGCTGAGCGCTGAGCAGCTGGGGCCTGATGGCTAAGCAGTGGGGAAGGCCCCCCGCCCATGTCATATTCCCTGAGGACAACCTATAGGCATGCATGCGGATGGAGTAGACAGAGCTGTGCACACACCAGACCAGGCAGGATGGCCTCCCGAGGGACCTGGAAGCCGGAGGCTGGGGAGCACAGCAGCTGCCTGGGCCCACAAGATAACAACAGGCGGTGGATGCATGGACTCTCAGGATACGGGGCCACCCAACCCCACTCGGGCAGTGCTCCCCAGGGCCTCCCCCGGCCCACATTCACATCTGTTCCCGGGGCCCATTTCTACCAGAGGTCACAGCTGTGCTAGGGGTGGCTGGACGGTTGGTGGGGGTGCAGGGTGTTTACTGACCCAGCCGTGCCCACAGTGACCTAGCAGGGTCCACTAGGACAGAAGGATCTGCTAGACTCTGACCTGCCACGTGCCTCATGCCCCCTCCAGACCACGGTGGACACGGGGGGGGTTTGCATGTGTACATGTGTGCTCGTATGGGTACATGCATACCTGTATGCACATGTGGGGCATGCGTGTACTTACGAGTGTGTGTGTGCACGTGTGCGGGGTGCACACGTGTACATGCAGGTGTGGGCATATGAACGTACGCAACAGCTAACAGCCAGTCGGGGTGATGTTACGAGGTCACTGTGTCTCCTACAAGGGGCTGAGCCCCGTGCTGGGGTGGGGCACCCCGTGCCTGCTCTCCCCCGCTCTCCCTGCCACCTGCAGCCTACCTCCCCGCACCGAATTTCCCATCTTTACTCTGAGTATCTGACGCCCTTGTTTAATGTATTTTCTCCTGAGTTACCCTTCTGGGCCCACAGCTCCACAACTCCAGGGGGGCTCACACACACAGGCAAACAGGGACTGCCAGAAGCCCAGTGCCACTGCATGGCAGTGGGGGGTACCAGTAGGGGGCCACGGCCGAAAGAAGGACCGAAAAGAGGACCGAGCCAGTGACAAAAGGACAGGCCTGTGTCACCAGGCAACTTGACATGAGGTGTGACTCAGACTCTGATTCTCACCCCCATTCACAGACACCACGCGCACTCACACTCACCCCACCCCCACCATGCGCACACACCCC